TTGGGCGGAGGCCAGGGATACTTAGCGGCAGCGCCATAGCTCCAGCTTCGCCTTCGAGGTACCTGCAGCACAGCGCCATCTTCACAGGTTAGTACCTAGCATACGAGAGAGAGAGAGAGAGTTCTTCTTCTTCCTCTTCTCAGTCCACCATCTCCCTCTCACCCTCTCGCTGCCTGACTTCACTGCATCAGCAGACTACGAGAGAAAGAGAGAGCTTGGTGACATTTGGATCCAGACTCGACATTTGGGCTTCAGACATTTTGACGAGGGATTATTTGGGATTTGTAAAAAAGACTTGGTGTTGACAACATTCCCATCTCTCCCCCTCTTCTTCATCTGTTCCCCTCCTCTTCGTCTGTGCATGATCTGGGCCTGGGCCGTCTTCCTGTGTATAGCGCCAGGTCTCTTCACACCTTGTGATGAGGATGATGTATGTTTGGTCTGCGTTGCAACATTGATTGGGCTAGTCATTGGTATTCTAGCATTCTGCTGCGTTGTCTTACACTACGTGATAGAGGTCAGTCCCGGTCAGGTCAGGACTTGTATCTAAGTCTTTCACTGCGCTTTAAAGCACCATTCTTGTATGGATCAGAATGTACACTGCTTGTTGAGATTTCACTTGCACTGCATTGTCCATTCAGTCCTTGTATGTATCAGAATGTACACTGCTTGTTGAGATTTCACTTGCACTGCATTGTCCATTCAGTCCTTTTTATCACATTGCGGATCCTCGGTTATTATGTACATCACCCAACTGGCCATGTAACAGTTGGTATCGGAGCACCGCACATGAATCAGGACAACCTGATCTGACACATGTGCGGGGACGAGGTAGCTGATTAGTCTTGATTGATTGATTAGAGCACACTAGTTAGCCCCTCACTGCCGAAAATCAAAATTTTTTTCTTTTCTTGGATTTTGTTTTCTTGCTATTTCTGTTGTGGAAAATCTCAATAGCGCAACATCTGAAATTTCCGTTTTCGTTTGTCTTCTGAAAACTCAAAATTTCGTTGTTAGAAAATCCGGAATATCTTTTTTCCGAAAATATCGATTTCCTTTTGCAATTTCCCGTTATTTGGAAGTTCGGAATATTTTTTTTGGAAACCCATTTTTTTTCAAAGCGGTACGGAAATTCTTATTGCAGTACCATTTTCCAAACCGCGAATACTCTCATCTGAGTAAGTCCGAATACTGGTTATTTCTTTTCAGAACTTTTCTTATTCGCAGTTCTATGATTTTCACTACTTGATAATCATTGGCAGTCTGAAAGTTCGAATTTTTTTTCTCATTCATAATTTCGCACTTCAAGGGAGGTTGGGAGACCTACTGAACTTGCAAAACTCGGGATTTTTATTTTCTCGAAATTGCTTTTTGCATAGTTCAATCTTTTCCTCTGTGATTAGTGGCTCCTTGTCTGGGCGATTTATCGCCACCCACCCCTCCCCACCTATGTTGTTGCCCCCTCTCGCCTTACCTTTTCTATCTGTCTTCGGGTACCCCCTGCAGCGACATTGGTAAGTTGCTACATCAGCAGACCACGTCAGCAGGACACGTCAGCAGACCACGTGAGCAGGCCACGTCAGCAGCAGGGATTACCACGTCAGCAGGCCCCCGGCCTGGTCTATGCTTTTGCGCTCACAAACAGCCGTCATGGACCATAAGTCCAAGGAAACGAACGAGGCTTATCAGGCCCGGATGCTCCTTCTGATTACCGAAGCCAAGCAACGGTCGGATGCAGTAGCAGCCGCAGCAAAGAAGAAGGCAAACGACGTCGAGAAGGCACGTCTGTTGGCAATTGAACAGCAGCGCCAGCAAGACGAGGCAGCAACAAAGGCTGCCAATGAAGAACGACTTCAACGACGCGAGAAGATATTCATCGGAGAGCGAGCTTTGCTCACAATGGCATCGGACTGGCGGGCCGAGGCCGAGAATGGGAAGCTGGAAGAGAGTGGAAACAAGATCGATCTACTCCTCTCCCATCTCACGGACCTCCTGATCATGTGCATTGCACAGCAGGAGGACATTCACAACCTCGACGACGCGGTTCAGACACATGATCACGTGTTTGACCAAGTCAATAGCCACCTCCAGCAGCTGGAACAAACTGTCGCCACCCCCGTTGCCAACTCTTCCAACACCTCCGATCGCCTTGAGGCATTGGAGATTGATGTCGGAACCCTAAAGGACGGCGTGCAGTTACAGCAAAACGCCACGCAACAGTTGGAGCAGCGGATCTGTACTGCCGCCACTCACTCAAGATCGGAACCGCGCAAGATAACTCCAAAGTTGGATGATCAGGAGATCTTCTGCGATTCGACAAAGACGGACCCGATTCCCTGGTTCCGTAAGTTCGAACTCAAGTTGCAGCTACACTACGTCAGCGAGCACAAGCATCACGCGTACTTATACTCGCGCTCGGGGGCGCGTGCCAAGCATGGCTGGACAATCTCCTGTCCAAGTACGGAGTGGTGGCTGTCGACTTGCACACCAAGATTAACTGGGATGATCTGACCGCTACATCGAGGCCGTACCGGTGTATTTCGCACCTCATGCATGCAAACCAGTGACATTCGACATTTTGGACACAGACTTCAACATTATTTTGGGAATGCCTTGGCTTGCAAGTGCGGATCACACGGTCAACTTCCACCGGCGGACTCTTACCGTTCGTGACGCTTTTGACACCAAAGTGTCGTGTACTATTCCTCTTCCGCACCCTTCAATCCGATGCCAAGTGGTGATGGGCAAGTTATTCCGAGCTACTTGCGCTTACGAGCAGCCGGGCGAGATAGGCCTATGTTTCCTACAGACCGTCGCGGGAGCTAACTGTTCACCGACGGACTTGTCGTCGGACCCCCGTGTGGTGCGGTTGCTTGACGAGTTCACCGACATCTTCGAGTCACCTACCGGTGTGGTGCCGGATCAGCCGATCTCTCACGAGATCATTCTTGACGCTGGTGCCGTGCCGTGCCGCCGAAAGGTTGCATTTACCGCATGAGCGAGGAGGAGCTTACGGTCCTCCGCTCGCAACTCGATGCCTTGATGGACAAGGGCTGGATCCGCCCTAGTAGCTCCTATATCGAGCACCAGTTCTCTTCGTACGGAAGAAGAACAAGGATCTACGATTGTGCATCGACTTCGCGATCGCTTTTGGTGGCCCGACCTTCTCGACAACGTCACACGCTATTGCGAGTCAGGCGAGGTTTGCTGACGCTGCAAATCCTGCAGCCATTGTCCATGCGACAAGTTGTGACTAGTACCGGTCCCCTTGCGCCGGAGGGAAGCGATTACCATGCCTGGCCATTCCCCAAGCACAAGACCGGTGTGGATGGGATTCTTACGGTGGTCGACCGACTCACCAAGTTCGCCATGTTTTTGGTTTGCCGCTATCATGCCAAGGCACCGGAATTGGCGGAGGTTCTTTACGCTGGTTGGATTCGAACCAAGGGTTACCCCAAGGAAATTGTCTGCAACCGCGACACTCAGTTCATGTTCGATTTTTGATTGGCACTCATCAAATGATGGGGCTCATCTCTCAAGCCAAGTTTGGCTCGCCTACTTGGTACACTTTGCGTACTGCATCCCGAACGCAAGATGCAAGGCAAGCCGGTATCTTCGGCTCCACGTCGCACCCGCGTCCAGGTTCCACCTTCAGATCGACAGCTTCGGCCTCTACCTGGCTTGACTTCATAAGGAGGGGGGGGGTGTTACATGCTGCGCCTGCAACAGGCTGCACGGGCCATTTTCAGGCCCGTGCTGTTTTCAGCCTGAAAGCCTGAAAACAAGGGCCTACATGCCCTGTGTTGTTTTCAGCCTGAAAGCCTGAAAACAAGGGCCTACAGGCCCCTTGTTGTTTTCAGCCTGAAAGCCTGAAAACAAGGGCCTACAGGCCC